AGTGGTGTAATAAAGTTGTTTGACGTCTAGAGTTGTATTTCATGTGTCATAGTTAATTTTTTAATATTTTATTTTAGGCATATTTTTTTTTTAAACTCATTAAGTTAACATGGGAAGGAAAAGTAAATGAGCCCTTAAAAGCCTTCAACATATACGGGATTTAAGAGGAAACAAAGAATATTGCGCTGATGAAAGAGAAAAAGATAAGCAAAGAAAAGGAGTTGTACATTTAAATCCTGCAAAAACATTACATCACAATATCATAATGTTAAAAAATATGAAAAAAACGGTTGGAAAGTCCTGACGTGAAGAAGAGGAATTTAGAAGCCACTCGTAAAAGACTACAAGATTCTGTCAAAAAGGAATTGAATCTAGCAAGGTCTCGAAAAGAGTAAGAAAAAAAGGTTACAAAATGAAGTATATAGAAGTTCCTATAAATACGCAAACCGTCGTTATATGAATAAAAGAAGAGCTCCATCAGATAGTGTAAAGTCTGTCGTACGGAAAAAGTCATGTACAGTATCAACTTACAGAATACGTGAACGTCAAAGATTAAATACTACGAGTCATAAATGGGAGACGTTGTTGGCTGAATACAACTTGCGGAAAATACAAGGTCTATCAGAAACGTGTTCTTCATGTAATCGCCTTCGATTACCAAGTAGTATGGTTAGATGCCAAAAAGCAGTATTCACTATTTTAAGGATGAAGTGTTGTACGTCCAGTGATGATACAAGTGTTCATGTGTGTACAAGTTGTTATACTCATTTAAGAAAATCAAAAATTCCTCCATTATATGTTGCTAATGGATTTGAGTTGAACACTGTACCGCCGTCGGTGTTTAAACTCAATCAAATAGAGAAACAAATGATTTCTTTAAGGTTACCCTTTATGAAAATTTTTAAATGTCTTCGTAGTGAGGGTCAGTTGAAAATTCAAGGTAATGTAGTAAATGTGCCAATTGATTTGACAAGAACAACTTGTATTTTGCCTAGGAGAGCCGAGAATTTAGCAGCAATAAAAATTATGAAGGTAAAATTAAAAAAAAAGAGTTGTTTTAAAAACAGCATTATTTGTATCAAAATGTTCGTCCAAGTTTGGTAGTTTCAGCACTGCATGATCTTATGGAAAAGCCATTGTATGAAAACGCAGCTGTTGATAGAGATTGGCTCAGGCATGTTACTGATAGTTTGGACGTACTGAATAATGATTTAGAGTCGCTAGACAGTCAAGAATCAGATAATAGTGACAATGAGCCAATTAATCCCGGAGGTAACACAGACACAATGATTAATAATGGTGATTATGTTTCTTTTGCTCCAGGTGAAGGTATGAAACCGTTATCAGTACTAATTGATGATCATGCGAAAGAAAAAGCATTTCCAAATTTGTTTGGTGGTTTTCCGCGGAAAATTCAGGACCCATTGAAGAACTATTCAAAGATAATACGACCTGAGCTTTTGCAAAGCGATCGGCGGTTCGCAGGTGATACATCAAATTTGTTTTTCAAATGTAAAGTTTTTATTCATAAACAAATAGCTAGTAATGTTCAAATTGTGTTACGCAAAAATAAGAAGGACATAAGGTCTGTTACAGCAGGCTATGTCGCTAATTCAGAGAGTTTAACAAAGATGATTGATGACGATCAAGGTTACCGATTACTACACAATGTGCAAAATTCACCTTTTTATTTGGCAGAGGTGATGAAAAATGTTTTTGCAATGGTCAGGCAATTAGGCAGGCCTACCATATTCTTAACTCTTAGTCCAAGTGAGTTAAAATGGTGTGATTTATTAAAAATATTGTATAAACTACGGCACAAACAAGATGTATCTGATGATGACGCTATGAATTTGTCATATGCTCAAAAGTCAAATTTAATTCGTGAAGATCCTGTTGTGTGTGCTACATATTTTGATGAAGGGTTCAGGGCTTTATTTAAATTGTTAAGAAATCAAAATTGTATATTTAGAGATAATCCGGTTTATGAGTTCTTTTACAGGGTTGAGTATCAACATCGTGTGAGTCCACACGTTCATATGTTACTTTGGTTGGAGAATACGCCAAAATTTGATCCAGCTAAACCTGAAACATTTGATTTATGTGTCAACCTCATCAGCAAGTACATTCATTGTATGGTTGAAGAAAGTAGTCCAGCGTATGAATACATTTCAAAGCAAACTCATCGGCATACACATACGTGTTATAGATCAGCAAAAGACAAAGAAGAAAACAACTGTCGTTTTAACATACCTTATCCGCCTATGAATGAAACTTGTATACTGACACCGTTGACTTTTGAAACTAGTAATAAGACGGTGTATGATCGTCGATTGAATAATTACAAAACGCTTTTGCAATATTTAAGAAATTACAACTCTTTGACAACTTCAAAAGATCCGTCCCTTGAAGAAATTTTAAATATACTTCATATACCTTCTATCAATGAGTATAAGTCTATTTTGAGGACGGGTATTAAACAGCCAACTGTATTTCTACGGAGAGACATTAAACACCGGATGGTGTCTGGATACAATGAAACTATACTTCCTCTATAGCAGTCTAATATGGATATACAGTTTATTTTAGATGTTTACTCGTGTGTTAAGTATGTTATCGAGTATGTTGGAAACAGTCAACGAGGAATATCAAAATTAATGAAAGATATTATTGAAGAAGGCTTTAAATCAACAACAGATATCACCGTTCAGGACCAGCTATGAAAAAATGCCTCTACGTTTTCCACTAGCCAAGAAATATCGGCTCAAGAAGCGGTGTACATCTGTTTAGGAATAAAACAGTCAAGCACATCCACTGGTCATGTATTTGTAAATACTAGTCATCCAGATAAAAGAACAAGTATCATAAAACCAGCGGCTCTTAGAGGACAAATGGATGTGGAATCAACTGACATATTTTGAGATGGACTTATTGCATATTATTCATGTAGACCATTACAATTTGAAGAGTTAACTTTAGCCGAGTTTGCTGCAGACTATGAAATTAGAAATAAACAAAAAGTTCCTATTAAGTCAAGAGATTCTGATAACTTATCGGGCGAAGACGTTGATGAAGAATAAGTAGATGATGTATTTATTAATAATACCGCTTTAATAGGAAAGAAATGTAAGTATGTAAGTATGCATAAACGGAAAAATCGGAAAATTAATCGTTATGTTAGATTTAAGCTTGCTAATAACCCTAGTGACTTACAGAGAACAGGTAATGCTTTTTTTACATTGGCGTAATGAGTATGATGATTTGATTAATGTAAATTGCCAGGAAGTGTATCAATCAAATTTCAGTGAAATTCAAAGGTTATACTACAGTTTAATAAAATAGAAGAAAATGAATTGGAAGACAATATCTAAACTGTTAATGAACAACAGGACAATAATGCAGTTACAATATTGGACGATTGGGTTCCTGATGACAGGCTAATAACTGATGTAGGTGATTTCAGTAACACAGATGATACTGATAATCCCAAGGTACCTAATGATAATGGTGGATTGTTTAGTGTTCATAAATTAGACAGTGATGAATTTAACCAATTAATCAAAAGTATGAATAAGGGACAAAGGCAATTTCTTTATCATACTACTAATGTGCTGAGATCTCAAATATGGGGGTCTGGCAATCCTAGTTTTCGAGCGTTTGTTACAGGACCTGCTGGAGCTGGAAAATCGGTACTCATACGAGCATTGGCCCAATCTACAATACGCAACGCCAATTTGAGACCCGTCATTGATGATTTATCGTTGCCACCTGTGTTACTAACTGCACCTACAGGTAACGCAGCATATGGTATAAGAGGCGTAACTCTTCATGCAGCATTTAAATTACCTTTAAGTCAATTTGCTGGTATTTTACCAAAACTTGGAGCGGACATATCAAATAGTCTTCGCTGTCAGTTGGCTAATGTAAAATTATTGATCATAGATGAAATTTCTATAGTTGGTTTGAAGACACTTAGCTATATTGACTAACGTTTAAGAACTATTTTACGAATTGATGAACCATTTGGTAATATTAACGTGATTGTTTTTGGTGATTTTTACCAATTGTCGCCAGTCCAAGCTACAGCTCTTTATGAGAATTTTGAGCGATTGATTGGTAAGTATCCTAACTCGCTTGATGTTATAGGTATAAAAATGGTATGGGAAACTTTCAAGTTTTATGAACTGACAGAAATCATGAGACAAAAAGATGACAAGGTATTTGCAGAAGCTCTAACTAAATTAGCTAGAGGACAACTGCAAAAAGAAGATATACAATTTTTCAAGTCACTCGAGTCGCCTATTGGTATAAGTTTTCAACCAAGTGTCATGCATTTGTGGCTACTAATCGTGAAGTCGATTTAATGAACACTAAAGTTTTAAGTATTTTAAATACCACTAGTTTTGTTTCAGAAGCAATAGATACATCAGCCAAAAGAGCAGATATTGTAGCCGCTACTACACTGGTAAGGACCAAAACAATGGGATTACCCTTAAGGCTTGTATTAAAAGAATCTGCAAAATATATGATTATATCGAATATTTGTACTGAAGACGGTAGTGTTAATGGTGCTATTGGTGAACTAATGCAAATCAACAGGTCGTTTACAATTAGTGGTAAAGAAGTGGCCAATAGGGTCTGGCTTAAATTTGACGAGCCAGACGTTGGTTCCATAACAAGGAAAAAAATTAAAGGAAAACTCACACCTATACTAAGGCCACTGAGAGAACGCTACTGGGCGGCGACCAAAACTAGTCCATTCTCGCGCATTCCCCCCACTAAACGCTGGTTTCCGCCGCCGGCGCCACCGTCGCTCACCGTCGGCCACCACCGCCGCTGCCGACGTCACGGTCAGTGGTTGTTTGTATACAGCGTGAACTGTAGTGTTTACTTTATTTTACGTTTTGGCATACATACACCATTTTTTTGTTTTTTGCGAGTTTTAGCTCACTATTGTTTTTAGTGTTTTCCTATTTCAGTACTTAGACTACTAGGACAACATGGACCACGTCGAGATTTCTCCTTCAAAAAAAAATCCTCGTGGAAAAGTAAGTTTTGTAGGACTATTTTTCTATTGCGAACTCTTAATTTTTAAATATATATTATTTTCTTTAGTTTGTTGGGACTGGTCAAAAGCAGATTATCATCAATCTGTACAAAGACAAACTCAAGCAACAACTTGAAAACCCAGACAGCCCGCAATTGACTTACAGACAAATGCTTGTCGAAATTTCCAAGGCAAGTGGTATTGGACAACGAACAATACAAACAATATTGGCCGAGTATAAAAAAGAAGGTACAGTTTCATCGCCAAACAAGAAAAAAATAAAACTTACAATACTTGACAAAGTGGACGAATTTGATAAAAATGCCATTAGGCGAAAAATACATGGCTTTTGGTTGAATCGTGAAGTACCTACACTTGCGAAGATGTTAATAGCCATTAATGAAGATGAAACTTTACCGAATCTTAAACGTTCGTCATTTCAAAAAGTGTTGAAGGAACTGAAATTTGTTTATGCAAAAAAATCTCGCTGTAGTGCCCTTCTTGAAAGAGAAGATATACAACGTTGGCGCCGAAAATACTTGGATCAAATAAGGCAATACAGAGCACAAAACAGACCAATATATTACTTGGATGAGACATGGGTCAACGCAGGTGAAACGCATAATAAAAAATGGGTCGACAGTACGGTCAAGTCATCCCGTGACGCATTCCTCAGAGGCCTCACCACAGGACAAAAGGAACCCTCAGGTAAAGGTAAGCGACTCATTGTATTGCACATCGGATCAACTGACGGCTTTGTACCTGGGGGCCTTTTGTGCTTCGAATCCAAAACCAACTCGTCAGACTACCACGATGAAATGAATGGCGCTACGTTTTTTGAGTGGTTTGAAAAAACTTTGCCATTACTCAAAGAAAATGCCGTAATTGTAATGGACAATGCTTCATATCATTCCGTTAAAAAAGATCCAATTCCAGTGATGTCTTGGAAGAAACAAGAGATTATAGATTGGCTAGAAAGTAAAGGAGAGATCGTTACCCAGCCAACAATAAAAGCGCTGTTGTTAGAAAAAGTTCAGACATTGAAATCGCAATACGACAAATACGTAATAGATGAGTACGCCAAAGACAACAACAAAACTGTATTAAGATTGCCTCCATACCACTGCGAGCTGAACCCAATCGAGCTCGCGTGGTCATCTATCAAAAGCTATGTCCGGACGCATAACAACACCTTCAAATTAAAAGACGTTGAAGAATTATTAAAAAAAGGCGTGGAACACGTAACATCGGAAATGTGGACGAATTTTGTTGGGCACGTCGTAAAGGAGGAGGAGAAATTTTGGAACATCGACAGCATAACCGACGAAGTTATGGACGCAGAACCTGAAGAAGGAGCACGTCATATCCTAACGATAGGAACAGGTGATACAGACACCTCAGGTGACTCAGATTCAGACTCGGATTGATTACTTGGTACTATTTAAATGTTGGGTAAAAGTCTAGTTTAGTCTAATTTAATTTTAAAATAATCTTAGTAAATAAATTATTCTCGTTGAGTGAGCATAGCTCATGAGAGATGAACAAAAAAAAAGGATCAGTTGTGCAATGAAAAGTTACCCGGCTATAGCCGGGTCGACTGCCTGCTACCGCTTGGTCGGGGTCCTTTTTTTACACGCGCTTTACCTATACGATTACAATATCAGGTAAAATTTAATTTTAAAATAATGTATTCTCAAAATTAAGGGAAAATAAGGGTGCCCGCTAAACTACTTATACCAAATTTTGTTTTGTATTTTAATTTGTTTTTCAGTATTATTTAAACACATTTATGTTGGAAAGAATGAATAAATAAATATATTACATACATATTATATTTTGTTTTTATTGTATACCTACCATGTGCGAAAGTCGCCAAGAATTATTATTTTCGATGTATGTTATTTGAGCCGCTGTATACAACTTCTCGGTGGCGGCGGCCGTGGAATAGCCGACGGTCGCCGCGTAGTGAGTAGGGGAATTTACGGCGGCGAGTAAGTAGTAGAGTGGGAGAAATATAGGCTCGTAACCGCGGAGCTCGTTCATTTGGATGCGCCAAGGAGTAGCGTTCTCTCAGTGGCCTTAGTATAGTGGGGATGTACTTGATGATTGGTGTAATTGGACTCCTGTTGAGGTAATAAAATTGGAATTTCAAATAGGTAATACAGGAAAAAGAACAGTAACAAGAATGCAATTACCGTTGGTTGAAGCTTTGGCATTAACTGTGCACAAAAGTCAAGGGGCTACCTATGAAAATGTTGCATTTCATATTCCTAAAACACATTTAAGGTGTAACATGTTGTATATTGATTGTAGTAGAGCGACGTCAGCTAAAGGTTTGCTTATTGACCATTTTCCTAATAATCCTCCTAAACCTTCGGTAACAGTGAATTGTGAAATGGCTAGACTTCGGTCTCCGGCTTGTAAATTAAAACCTTGCTATGAATTTCTATTATTGGATGACCAAAAAATATTTTGTATTTCACATAACATAAGATCTTTGAAAAAGTATTTTGGACACATACTTGCTGATAGTATAATATTGAAATCTGATATATTATTTTTCCAAGAAACTGGCACTAGTTCAACTGATATGTACAAAATCGATGGTTATACTGAAATTGGTCGTATAAACAAAGTTCATGAAATTGGCAAAAGTGGCTCAATTTGTTATATTAAAGACGAGTTATACGATAGTTCACTAATTTGTGAGTCGTCGATTATTGATGGTAGTAATGGACACATGGAAGTTTTAGTAGTATGTATAAACGGTTATAAGTATGTTGGAATTTATGTTTCTCCTAAATTTCCAACTACTATGTTATGCAATTATTTACATAATGTGGCGCAAACTTGTGAAAAAATAATACTTATTGGAGATTTTAATATTAGTTTTATTGGACCACCAGACATTCTTGTTAAAATTTTAAAAGAACTGAATTACAAAACACTGATTAAAGACATTTCAACTACAGATTATGGGACATGTATTGACAATGTAATTACAAATGCTGATTTTACCGTTATAGTGTATGAATCGCTGGTAAGTGACCATAGGCCATTAATTGTAGTTGACAGTTGTACACCAACTCTGCAGTCAAGTAACTGTCATTACAGTCCAATACAATATGATAATGTTCCTGTGCAAGTAAAAAAACCTATGCCTTTAGAAAATAGTTTAACAAATAATTTGCATTTTGTGCAGATTAATGCTTATACACTTGTCATCCCTGAAGATGGTGTTGATGATATCAACTCAAGGTTTAACCGGTCAATTAGTATTGGTGATAATGATAAGTCAATAAATCCGATAGAACACACAACCAATTCGGCTAGAAAAGGTATTCATGGGTTTACAAATTCAGATAATGTGTCGTGTTATGCTAATTCTATTATTCAAGTATTGTATCATTGTAATGAACTTGTTTATCAAATCCGCAGAAATAATTTAGGTGAAACTCTGGTAACTCATTTAAATGGGTATGAAACACAACAAGTGTCAAATACTATCTCAATTAGACAATATGTGGATACCATGTCAAGAAATGGTACGGTTTATACAGAAACGGAACAGCAGGATTGTGTTCAATTTTAGAGTCTCTTATGAACTGTAATAGAGAAGTCTTTGATTCTTTATTCAGTTACGATGAGAGGTATACAAATCTTTGTGATATATGTATGAATGAAACAACTATTATAGAACCAAGGAATTTGATTAAACGTTTAGAGATTCCTGAAAATCATTCTTCGACTCTGGAAGAGTTGTTTGAAAATGACCAAGATATCTGGAGACTGATTCCTGATTACAGTTGTACTAATTGTAATGGAATTGGAGGCTACAAAAGGAAAAATGTTATAACGGAGGCCAATGAATATTTAATAATTCAGTTAAAATTGTTTAGTTTCAATTTAATAGATGGCCAATATGTACCAGTATTAAAATTACAGATCTGAAGTTGAAAAATCTTCCAAGAACACAACTTAGAATTTCAGGCTTGGTGTATAAACCAATTGCTGCTGATTTTCATAAAGGTTCTGAAATTCACAGTGGTCATTACATGGCATATTTAAAACAAAATAATACACAATGGGTATGTGCTAACGATATGAGCGTTAACGTGGCGAGGTGGCCAAATAATGCTAAAGATTTATATGTAACAGTTCTAAAAAGAAATTAAGATTTAGAGTTAAAAAGGTATTATAGCTCACACTGTTAGAGCAATATTTTGGCTGTGCGGCTTGGAGACCGAACGCTTATGCTGTGCGGCTGTGTGGCTGAACGCATATGCTGTGCGGCTTTGTGGCCGAACGCATAAGCTGTGCAGCCTTTGTAGCTGAACGCTTGTTATAGTAGGTTTAACAGTAATAATAATACAAATTTATATTTTTATGTTTAGATTTATATACTACTATATTTACTATAGTATAGTATACTTTATATATACTATAAATTTTTTTTTAGTTAAAACAAAAACAACATTGTATATAAATAGAATATGTTACTTGTCTTATTAGGTATGTAATAGGTAAAAAAATTGTAATAGCAATCGTCAGGCAGTATTGTTTGAATTAATGTGATTTAAGATTATATTGATTTTAAAATGTGTCTCTATCTTATGGGCAACTGATATACGATAAATGATAATTGTTGAATATCATACGCACAATGTTTGTCTAACATGTAAGTGTATGCTATCGTCTATCAAACCATTCATAAGTGTTTCTGTTTGCTATTAGTAAATAAGTTTATTATAAATATTCCTACATGTTAAATAAACAATATTATTGTGTAATATAATATAATAATATATATATATATTTTTTTTAGCTTATTTAATGTGGCTGTGCATACTCTTATAAGAGTTAAACGCTATAACTGGTTTACAATGCAAAAATGAAGCTATTGTAATGGTTATGTTTAAAAAGTTATGTAGTAAGCTTTTGGCGTGTTAAATGATTCATTAGCTTTAGAGTTGAAGAAAGATAATGAAATTTAATAATACATCTTTGTTTTGAAAACTGGTTCTCTAGTCAAGTATGGTTTATTAAATGGTAAATATTAGTTTGTAATGCTCTCCAACTATATATTTAATTTGTAATGACAGTATTTATACATTTAAATATGTATATGTGAATATATTTACTTCATTTATGAATTGAGTAAATTGTTTGAATTTAGTATAAACCAAATTGAGTTAATTTTCCAAAGATTCAGATTGTGTTTATGCTAAATTTTACATTCTTATTTTAAAAGTTTGTTTTTATATTTATATTACTTTAATATGGTAAAATTAGTAGGGTAAATCTATTTTCAATATTTAAAAAAACACTGTAGGATATTTTCAGTTAGGTTTAGTGTTAACATTTATAATTTTATTTTATTTTTACATAAATTTATTTATGTAAAAGAAACATGGTACTGGTTTAAATATTACTTTTCAGGGAATGAGATAAATGTAAATTTTTATTTAAACTAGTAATTGTTAAATGTATTTATTGATCAAAATTGAAATAATCTGAATCTCCATTGAAAAACATGGTCTATATATTATTGTATTAGGTTCTTAATCACTATGAATTTGTAAATTAGTTTCACCGTGATTTTATAATTACATATAATTTTATAGGAACAATAATGTCAATGTAGTGTAACGATGAACCGCATTGTACTGTAACAGTAGCATATATCTGAAATCTTGACACCATGGAATTTCAAAAGTATGTGTTTTGGAAAGTGGTTAACAATCTGACTTGACATTTTATTAGTAAGATATTTGATGAAAAAAGTATTTTGTTGATGTCCATTTCCTACACCAGTGGCAATAATATTTAAGAATTACTTTAAGAAACATAATAGGTAATTATTGTCGAATTAGGACAATTTATAAAATAACATTTCTTAAGAAGTTGGAATTTTTTTAATTTAATGTTTTTTAGTGACTAGGCCATGACTTCAAAATGGTGGTTTAAAACTGGCTATAGTGTGGGGCTGATATGGCACTGTGTCCATGTAGCTGGTAACAATTTGACAAAACCTGATAATCCATATAGCGCACTCGTAGAACAGTTCAACTATTCAACAATTCAATTTATCGTATAGTAATGCTATAACTTTATGAAATGCATTACCAAAACTCATGGTGCTCAACTCAAACAAACATCTTTCATAATAAATGGAGTGGAGCCAAACTTGTATTAAAGAATTATATAAACTTGCAATAATATGTCATATATAAATGGTAGTTTAGTAGTATCTAGTAATATTTGTTGTATTAATACTTATACATTGTTTTAGATTAATATTTATATTGTAGGTATAAACAGTAGATTTTTGTTTAATTGTGTTTTTACTTTGTTTATAGACGTTTTATTTTTTTATTTATTTAATTTAGTTGCGATGCGGAGGCTATTTTACAATTCAATAATAGTA